TCACAGCCAGACACGACACGGTAAAAATAAATAAATAAATAAATAAAAAACAGTCAGCAAATTATTTCTGAATCAATATTTTTATTTTTATAGGCCACAAATCTCTTAATCCTTCTCCGGTATTTTTACTCTGACATAGCTGCAGCTACTGTGCAGGGTACTGCATCACATGGGGGTCTAACACTCAGATTGATTCGATTTCATCCTCACGCCCCATTTCACTATATTCTGATATCACAAACATTTAAAATCTTTGTCTCTCCTCACAGCAATGCGGAAAAGGAGAATCGTTACTCAGGAGTTCGCTCTCCCAGAGTGGTCAGTGAACCTGTGAGAGATTATACATTTACTCCTGTTGCCATGAGTGTTGAGATCATTTCCTTCCTTCTGCCTTCAGCCCAGACACAACCCCTTTAACCGAGCGTCTCTTATAGTTGTGGAGCCTCCTGTAAATAATCAGGACATGTCGATCAGTCGGGGCCAGAACCTGCAGGATACAGGTGATGGCAATACACTTTTATGAAACTGTGGTAATAGGAGTTACAGGTGACTCTTTGCCTTCTGTCCACCCAGAGCCCATTTCAGCCCTGAAGAATCACTCAGCAGGTGACTCCGGTCACACTTCAGGCGGCTCCATCACATCTGATGGCTCGTCTGTCGGATTCAGGCCGGTGCCGAAGAAGAGGACGCTCCTCACGAGATGCAGCACCAACCAGCTGGGGTCAGAGACTCAGCTCAAACATGCAGAGGTTGTTCCTGCTCCAAGACGGCGCCTCCAGCAGGGTTCCGGCGAGAGCTCCAGCCAGTCCTGCCTTAAGATCCAAGATGAAAGTGCTTTAAATAAGTCTGCTCAGGCACCTAAAGCAGCAGGAGGAAATTCCCAGCAGCCACCCTGTGATGCATCTAAAACCTCATCTGAAACTTTCAGACCATCTCGCACCGGGAGCAATGTGACGGCCGAGTGGAGAGAAGATCCGGATGATCAGAACCAACACATGGACATTTTTAACCTGTCCAGCAGCAAAGTTCAAGTTGAAGAAAGCAGCAGCAGCGTGGGAACATCAGCGAGGCAGGAGGCACTGAGTCTGCCCCAAAGCATCATGGGTAAGTACACTCACATGACACATCTTTCACCTCTTTGCTATGATAATCTTTTGACTCCAGAGACCTTGGCCGTGTTATTTCCTCCTAAAACTCTTGTTTTCTACTCCAGATAAAAAGCCTAAAATATCTTTTTTCCAGATCCTCCCACAACTTATGATCTGAACTTTATTGATAAGTCCGATCAGCAAAAGCACAAATCCAGCAAGACGGGGTTTTTTAAATTGTCCACGCCAACCACAAGCCCTACCGGTGAAGACGGAGAGGCCATCGCCAAGGTGCTGGACTGGTTCGACCGTAGCACAGACAGCAGTGATTGGCTGGAGTCAGAGGAAAATCCCAAGGCTGCAGAGAGCTTTGACCGGCCAGCGGCCGACAGCAAGTCCAGAGCTGAAGATTCCTGCTCTGGAGGTGTGAGTGAAAGGAAGCTGGAAAAGGCAAAAACAAGGGGTCACAGGAAAGGAAGCAGGGAGCTGGCTGAAACACAAGAAAATGTTAGGAGGGAGCACACCGATGAAAGTGGGGATGAAAGCCGGCCTCTGAAAATCTCTCATCTGAAGTCTTTCTGGGAGAAAAGCAACCCAGGTCCAAAGATACTTATCAGCAAATCAGTGACGCCTGGCGAGAAAGGACTGAACCCGGCTCACATTTCTCAAGAGAATTACTCTGATTTGTCCTCAGTTCCAGAACGGTACAGCGGGATGGGCATGCACAACAAATACAGCCCCAGAATAATAGATGAAAAAGAGCATCAGCTGGTCAACCGCCAAGTCATCAGCACGGTCAATAGTCACCAGCAGGAAGAACATCTGATGATTCATTCAACCCAAATAAACAGCAATGACTCGGATCATCTAAACTCACAGCACACGCCTGAAATAATCCACAGGAAACCTTTAGATGTCGAGACATTAAACACAGCAAGGCAAAGTTCTTCAGACAGAACCATCATGGATCATAAGAACGTCTCCCTGTTCAAACCCAAGCTGCAGTCGGACAGCGATTCAGAATCAAAAGAGTCATTACTGCTGTCTGACACTCGCTCCGTGCCTCAGTTGGACCCAGAAACAAGGGTCAGGACAGAGTCTGAGATGCTGGTTTTGTCCAAAAATATTCCCTACATGGACTACAAACAGGGTGGGAGCGAGGAGCAAGTCAGGCAACCAATTCCCAGAAGTTCCAGTGAAGACAAAAGCATCCATTCAGCTTCTCCTAAAAGAAAAGATGATGCTTCCAATAAAGACAGGACACATAGTTCCCACTTAAACAGGCAGGCGTTACATCATCAGGAGAGCACAGCGGAGAAGATAAAGCAACTCAAATCCTTCTGGGAACAGGAGCTCAACAAGCCCACGTTTTACTCCGGAAAACCCAGAGCTCTGGGAGACGGGAGAGTCGCTCAAGGAGCAAGTCAGGCCAGGCTGAACAAAAGATTCACAAAGTCCGAGTTTGACTTGACGTCAGTTGGAAATGAGTCAGGCAGTGACAATGAAGGTGGCGTCAGAACTCATTCAAATTTTACTGTTGTCCCATTAAATCAGAGGCTGGACAAGATGCCCCCGAACCTCGGCACCAGTCGGGCTCAGTTCAACACCCTTAGGGAGTTTTGGGATGAGGCCTCGTCTGACTCGAGGGGATTGCTGGTCAATGAGAAACCCAAAAGCCCCAGGAGAAAAGAGCCGCTGCGAAGTCAGCTCTCATCTCAAGAGTTAAAGGGCGCTGATCTGGAGATTTATCACTCAAGTCCCGCTGTCGAAAAATCAAAAGGAGTTGTCACAAAGTCCCACGAGTCCCCTCAGAACCAGTCCAAGTCTCCACACAACAGACGGAACAACAGCAAAAACAATGTGGCCGGTTACATCCCAGCTGAGACGGGGCAGCCGAAACAAACCAAGAGGAGCTCAAAGGACTCCAATCGAGAGGAGAAGTTCACAAAACCACAGAGCAGCTTAGGCAAAGAGATCCGGTCTCCAAAGACCAGAAAGGACAGCTTTGGTGTTTCCAGCAGCCGTGGGAATTCTCTGCGTCGTGCCACGAGTATGTTCGCTCTGGCAATCGATGATGAAAAAGCGCCAAACCTGCTGAGAATGGAAGTAAATCCCATCTGCTCTCAGAGCCGAAAGCCCAGGCAGATTCCAGAGAAAGGCCCTTTGACCAGGAGAACATCCAATGAGCCTGAAACGGCGGCTCCACTCGCTCGGGCATTTGTTCCAACAGACTACCGCCACTATCTGGGGATGATGGAGCCGGCCAGCGTACACACCACACTGGCGCCTGTAGTCAAGGACGAGGGGTCGGAGGTCAAGCCTGGCTATGAACTTGACCTGAGTGGACCAGTGAGGGCCAGCACGCCAGTGAGCTCGGAGGAGCGTTACAACAGGAAGTCAAACAAGACGAACCAGCGTCCATCATTGGCGAACTACAGCGAGTCGGACACTGGTCAGGACTCATCAATCAGCAGCACGTCAGAAACCTGGTCCAGCTCAAGGAACACCTTGAACCGTGAGCACCAACTTTAAAATTCAGTTCGAATCCAGAATCCTGAAACTATATTAAACGCTAAACGTTTTAGTAACAACAGTCTGAGCATTTTCCTCCTACACATAGGAGCAAACGCCGTCGGTGACCAGAATCCTGTGTGGGAAGCTCTACGCCGAGCTGCGGCTCGGCCTAAAAATCTAACCAAGAGTTTGGAGGACATCACAGCAACCATATCACCACGTAAGCATGTCTTCTACCAAGTCTACCAAGTCAGGGTTTAGTTTTGTTTTTACATTTTCAGAGGATTTGGTTTTACTTTGATTTACTGATTCTTGCAGGACAAGAGAGAAGACCCGACCAAATTGCTGATCTCAGGCGAAGCAGTAACGGTAAAAACAGCCTGATTTGTATTTCACAACCCTGTGAAATGTGTCCTGATGTAAGCTTTCTGTCTCTAATTCAACAAACAGCTGCTGTCATCCAATCGCCCTCCTCGTCGTCCTTTGCTGATCCAGACCACCTGAAGAAGATGAGCAAATCCGTTCCGTCGTTCTTACAGAAGGAGGTAAACCTTCCCAAACGTCCTTTGGTCTGGTAAATCCTGCACCGCTTCGACGTGCTTTCCTCGCCTGCTGTCTTGTGTTTCAGGACCTGGATGTAGACACTGACCCCAGCTACGCACAAGACCAACTAACACCAAGCAGCTCCATGACGATGCTCAGCGGCTCCTCTGGCGTGCCGTCTGTATCGTCCGTATGTTCACAAACGGCAGCATGATTGCTTCTGCATGAGCTTTTCGCCCTGTTTACACACAGCTCACTAACATAGATTAGCAGCTTTGAGTTAAAATCCTCACAACTCCTCCGATGCAACTCAGTCCTTTCCGTTTGCTCACAGCTGAGTGGAAGCGTGATCACCATGTACAGTGGTGACTTTGTGGAGGTTCAGGGAAACATCCAGTTCTCCATCAACTATGTCCAGAGGCTCAGAGAGTTTCACATCTTTGTTGCCGAGTGCCGCAATCTGGCTGCAGTTGAGTCGAAGAGGAGCCGCTCGGATCCGTGAGTTCTGTACTTGGAAATTTAAGAAATTTAAGAACGACGTTACTGGGTTAGAGCTAACCCTAACCCTCAACAGCTACAATGGCAGTGACATCAATATGAATACATCTCTTAAAGCTGAGGTACATAGTTAAAAATAATTTTCAAAGTGACTTAAAAATGCTAAAAAAAGGTCCTATCAGACCCTGTTCTATGATGTAAAGTAGGTCATCTTTCACATATTTGCCCTAAGTCCCTCTCCTGGCCTCTAAAGCAAAACGAAACATTTACTTTAGCCTAGACCATTGACCAATAGATTTGCATATCCACAAGAGGGCGCTGTCAATAAGAATGTGCTCCGGTTCGCAGCATGCACTATGGGGTGATGCACTGACTCACAGTCAGCTTAGCACACAGACCTAGCTTGAATGCTAACTCTACCTGCATTGCATTGATGTTAGCCTATAAACTTTAAGCTAACTGTGAACGAGAAGGGAGGGGAAGGGAAAGGGATTTATCTCAGGTGTACTGGAGCTAAGTGATTAGCATAGCATTCAACCTTATGCTACAATTCAGGGATGCCAACTCTCACGCATCTGACCCTCTCACGCCACACCTCAAATATCTCACACTCACCCCCCCCACACACACTCGTATGGAAGCTAAATGGTCCGCACGCCCCCCCCCCCCCCCCCCCCCACACACACACACACACACACACACCTCTCAAATGTAGAAAAGTACAAAAGTTGCAGCCCTACATTAGACTACTGCTATGGTACGTTGTAGCATTTGCAGGGTATGCTCGTTCAGCGAGTGCCAGATTACTGCCAGTTTTAGACGTTTCCCTGCATGATCCTCTGCAGATCTGAGGGAAATGTGTGATTCACAAGGTCTGCAGAACTTGATGAAGGCTGAGGAGATGTTTCAGCAGTTAGTCGGGTGAGCAGGAACATATCAAAAACATTATTAGTCCTTTAACGCTACAAAGCTATCTGCGTGTGCTGTATGAGGCGTGGCTTTCAACTTCTTAAAGGGGAGGGGCAGCAGGGGTGGAGCTATTTCCGTTCAGATTCCATAATCTCCTCCCCCTCTTTTTGATGACGTCGCTCTATAGGCCCCAGCTTTAACTTATTGAATATTTCTGCATGTGTTTTTTCATTGGAAATTGGATCACCAGAATAAACAATCTATTTCCCAAGTAAGATGTTCTTTCATCTTTTGGAACTTTTATCAGGTATGTGAAAAGCTACCTGGTTCCTGACAAAGCAAGCCTTGGAAAAAGAAAAACATCTGTGAAGAAGAAGACACTGAATCCAAAGTTCAATGAGATCCTGAGGGTGAGGCCACAGACACAAACTCCAGCTTTCTTCCCTCACATTGTCATACTGAACTGACAACAAACAAAAGCAGATGTCCTGTCCCTGCAGTATCGCGTTCGCATGGAATACCTCAGGACCCAGACTCTTGTTCTCTCGGTCTGGCATCATGACACCTTTGGCAGGAACAGCTTCTTGGGAGAGGTAGATGTGGACCTGTCCAAGTGGGACTTTGGCCACACCCAGATGAATTACTTGGCTCTCAAAGCACGGGTAAAGACACAAAGACCCCTTTATTTGTGGCTTTTCTTTTTTCACCATATAACAGCAGTTTTTTCAAAAAGGTCAGCAAACCCTTTCTTCGTGTCATCGATCTGGGCTGCTTGTATCACATGCAGTTCTGTTTTCTTCTAGACGTTGCCTTCCATTGCACCTTTAAATGGGGGGAGAGGAGAGATGAGACTGGCGATCCGTTTTCTTCCTCAGATCACCCACAGTGAAGGTTCGCCAACCATGCCTTTATGATGTTTTGGACAGCTGTGGCAAAGTTTAATAATTCAAAAACTGAATTAGACTTTATGCACAGTTACACTTTTGAGTCAAGTTGTCAATGGGTTTTCAGAAAATGCCATTTCTAACTTAAACATTCATGCCAGGAAACAAGTTCAGGTAGAATAATACCAGGAATCGCCTATTTTTTATATTTAAATTTTTTATTTAAAGGGCTAACAAAAGATGTTGCCAGCACCGGAGAGATTCACATTTGGGTGAAGGAATGCAAGAACCTGCCTTTAATCAGAGCCACCATTGACCCCTATGTTAAATGGTATGTCAACAAACATTCCTATTGAGTAAATTAATTCTTTTTTACTTTCAATAAACTTAAATCATCTACTGCCCCTATTTGAAGCTTCGTCCTGCCAGACACGAGCAGGAAAAGTCGACAAAAGACTCGTGTTCTCCGGAGGACCGTGGAGCCGGTGTTTAACCACACCATGGTGTACGATGGCATCAGTGAGGCTGATCTGAGTGACGCCTGTGTGGAGCTCACCGTCTGGGACCGAGACAGGCTGGCAAGCAACTTGTTGGGCGGTCTGAGGCTTGGCGCTGGAACAGGTACAGTCAAAGTTCAGCTGCAGCCATTTTATGCAACAATAATGAGGAAAAATGACTGGGAAGTATTAATAAATGTCTAATTCAAAAGGCTCTTGGGCTGTTGGTCAGTCACGGGATTAACACGCCATCTTGGATGGGTTAGCGGAGGGAAACTAACCGAAGGAAGTGAGACATCGCATTATGATAGCGTTGTTTTACGATTTCTACATCTGTAGATGGAGAAAAAGAACATAGAACAGATGCCCTATCAGGAGAACGTTTGCAAAGATGTCAAGGATTAGTTTTAGATAATTTGGTCACTTTTACTGAAATAATTTTTACTGAGACTCGAAAAATCAGAATATGGTGCAACAGTCCAGTTATTTCATTAATACAACTTAGAGTTGGGCAGTTTAAATGCCCAGGAACCCTTTGCAGGTATGGTAATGGCCTGTATTCGATATAGCGCCTTCTAGAGTCCTGAAACCCCCCAAGGCACTTTACAACACAGTCATTCACACATTCACACACTGGGGATGAGCTATGGTGTGACCACAGCTGCCCTGGGGCACACTGACAGAGGTGAGGCTGCCGAACACAGGCGCCACCGGTCCCTTCGACCACCACCAGCAGGCAGGGGGGGGGGGGTTAAGAGTCTTGCCCAAGGACACAACGACAGTGACAAACTGAGCGGGGCTAAAACCTGCAACCTTCCGATTACGGGGCGAGCACTTAACTCCTGTGCCACCGTAACAAGATGAATTGACGTGAAACATGCACATTTTTCATGTTGTACTGCCTTTTCTTCATCTGATTGCAGGAAAAAGTTACGGGGCTTTGGTGGAGTGGATGGACTCAGGCCCATACGAGGTGGCCCTCTGGGAACGAATGATCGCTTCCCCGAATGAATGGGTGGAGGACGTGTTGCCACTGAGAATGCTAAATTCAGCTAAAACTGCTTTCAAATAGGGATACGAAACGGCTACAAACACTATGCATTTATCTGATAATTAAATAAGCTATACAAGTATTGCTTCATACTTTTTAATTCTATTTAAATGGAGGAAAAAAGCTGGTACAAAGTAGTGAAATTCAAATGTTGGGACTGATTTTGATGAAAACCAGAAAAGAACAGATTTTTTTTACTAAAAATTTTAACTGAGTTTGTCAGAAATGAATTAAGTATATATGACATATAAAGTGAACTTTACAATAATACTCACCAGAGTATTATATGACTCCATATGAAGAATGGTTGATTTAAGATTATAATGTAGAGATTTCAGCACCGTGCCCATCATATTTAAATCCATTTTTTGAAATGGCCAAAATTTAATGCAAGTCTAGATATTTACATTGATTTGACCGTATTGACCCACACTAGGTTTGATACCATAAATAACAGGATTCAAAATGCTCTTAAACCTTGTAACTAAAGAAATGCAATAAAGAATCTTTTAAAATTTCTCTGGTCTGTGGCTGAAAAATGTGCTGATTTTCAACAGAAATATCAGAACACAAAAAGTTTTGGTTTTATTAAAGAACAATAAATGTTTGGCTTAGCATTTTTTAATGTAATTTTCATTATTTTAATGTTAAAAAGTCCAAAAAATTCTGGTTCAGGTTTAAATTATTTTAAGGTGAATGCATTTCTTTATAAGTAAATTGGGATTTTCATACCTTTTATTTCTTACGGTGGCTCGGAAGGCTCAAATACCGCAACAAGTAATAAAACAGAAGTTGTTCGCCAGAACTTATAACATGTAAGTGAGAAACCATTTCTGTTTTATGGTCATTTATTAATGTTTCAAAACTTCTATTTCATTATTACTTTAGTTTGTTTTGTTATGGGTTGGATTATTATTTAGCAGCTTTTCTATTTGTTGAACCCTCTGGGCTACCATAGTTATATTATAATTATTATTCTAACAAAATTGTTGTAACCCTACTTTTGCTACACAATAATGACATTAGTTTTCCAAGTTAAAATCCTACACAAGGTAGGCCTATCTTTTTAAAGGTGTGGTTGACCACAGAAACATTTTTTGATTATTATTTCTGATCATAATCAGTCACTGAGATTTTCATGCAGGCAGATCAGGAAAACAATCTTCTACCCCTATCACCTGTGCTGGCTTCTGATAGAAAATGGATGGTGAAACGCTAGGATTTGAAAATCCTCACATATCTATGTCACACTGTGAATTTGCATTCATGACCACGCCCATATTTGCTCATGCCCACCTACAAGAAGAACAGAGTGTCTTTGTGGTAGTGACATTGCAACCTGGCTGAACGCATTCTGTTGGCCAATCAGAAGCGAGGTGTGTGCATATCATTAAAAATAATGAGCAGTCCTGCTGTTTTCTGACTTTCTTTTTTCAAATATCACCGAGCGACAAACCTAGTGGCATTTCTGAGGACCCTTTGCAACTGTCTGTACAACTTTCTTGTAAATATTCCCTGCAGATTATCAAAAAATAAAAATAGATTTTGCACTCCAGACCATTCTTCCGGGATCAAGGAAAGAGACGTGATCAGTTACACTGACTGACCAAAAACAAATCTCCCTTGGTCGGACCGACAAGAACGGTATGTCTGCAGAGCTGGAGACTTCTGATTGATGCCTGCTGCATCAGATTCATGCTTCTACTGATGGCACAGGCGTGAATCTGAAGTTCTCAGGTCTGCAGCCGCCAGGCACTTTGGCCCTGCTGGCATATGGCAGATGACAAAGTCAGCAGGAGTTTGAACTACTGTCCTGTTTACACATGCAGCTCTGTGGATCTGAATTTCTCTGTGATATGGGGACGGTATTATATGATGAGACACCTGCTCCCTTTTGCTTGATGCACCCATTGCACTGTTTTTATTGCAATCTGGAGGGAGAGAAAACACGACAGAGAAGTGGAGAAACTATGAAGGGAAGAAGCAGCTGTTTGAGAAAATGCTAAGTGTGAGTGAGAATGAGGAGAGCAGGAGGTCTGAGCCATGTCCTATGACATACTGGTTAGGATCATCACAATAAATCTGCCTTGATATTCATTTATACTTTCAGAATATATTTTACACATCAAAGCAAATTGGGCCACTTTAATCATGCTAATTAATTTTAACTAATAACATTGTTTTTAATTTTCCTTCCTTTTAATTCTAAGAAAGATTAACATGTTTTAAAAATCTTTAGTGACATTTTTAGTTAGCGCTTTGACACATAATACATCCCTTATCACTTTAATATGAATTTTGTTTTGATGGCTTCCCCATCGCCCGGCCACTGACCAGCTTTTACTCCATCGCTGACCGAACTGGGAGGTTCAACCAACTGCTGACACTGCAGAGGTGTGGCTTGCTCTTTTTGCAATGAACAAACATTTTTCACATTTTCAAGGTGACTATTTTGCATTGAAAGCAGGTCGGACGCATCTTTTCAGCATGTTGACAAAAGCTGCCTTTGAAGGTAAATGTGGTTTTACTGCTCCTTTAAAAGCTTATACCTGAAGATGAGGCATGAACTCAGAGCAGGTTGCTCACAAACACATTTAGCTTGAGGATACAGGTGGGTGAATGTACTGATGGACTGGAGCAGGTGAGGGAGACGCAGGCGATTGTCAGGAGGCTGTCAGCAACATGGAGATGGGAAGAGGCAGGCTGGATAATTACACTTGACTGTTTGTAGCATAATTTAATCATTAAAAATAATTGACTTCTAAACAAAACTGATGACTTTCTGTTTTTCAGCATTGAAATAAAAAAGCTTAGTTTATTCAAATGGACAACGTACAGTAGAAAAATGTATTTCACATGAATATATTATACATACGTATAATTAGTATGGTCATTTGCATAATAGACCCTCATTTACAAAAATGAGACACATGACACTTTTTTAAAGTTATTATAGTTCTATGGTTTATGAAGTTCTTTGTATAAAGTCCCTCTTCAGCCGTTTTACCCCAAAATTCCACTATCTCCGCTCCGCCCCCGTTTTCCGCTGCCGCTCGCTTCCGAACTCAAATTATACTGTACCCACTCCACTCCGGTGCGGAGACCTGAGGTGCACAAACAGGCATGTGCGGGATTTTCGAGATCTTGCGATACAGTCCGAGCAATAAATGCGTAAGTTAGATCCAAACACCCGTTGTGCGGGAGAAGCATCGAAATGAACTGTTTAATCTGCCCATCATTTGTGTTGAGAGATCAGCAGTGTTTGGATCAACAAAGCCTCACTACTTTGATAGTAGAAACCAGGGGCGGATTTAGGACTGAAGAAGATCCAGGGCTTAACACACGCACGTGCACACGCGTGAAAAGCACTAGTCAACATCATATATATTTGTCTTATACCACATAATATTTAATCTGAAGCTACATATTAAGCATATTCAGGACAGAATATTGTTCCTGTTAGTGTTTAGTGTGAGATGATAGTAAATATTCCCTTTCCTTCTCCAACAACTGATAATCAGCTAACTTTAGGCAAACCAGCAGCACAACAAATATTTTCAAATAAGACTCACAAACCTGAGTCAACACCAGTCTCATCAAAGCTGGGGTTCTGTCGTTGTACTTTTTGCCTAAAAAACGTCCTTATGTCCATCTTCACTCATGCGTTTCAGGCAGAGAGTGTGGAAGAAGCCGGCTGCTGAAGGGCTTCTTCTTCAGTGGTGGAGGCTCAGGCGGGCTGTATATAAACTACTGCCAGCTGCTCCCTCTCTGTTGGACTTTGGTACTGCATATTACTTCCACGTTTGTGATCCGGGGCTTTTCATAAAAGATTCGGGGCTTGAGCCCAAGTAGCCGGGCCTAACGCCGCCCCTGGTAGAAACTGTATTCATGGCTTATTTTTGTGCATTTAAAGTTCAACTGCCATTGACAGTTGTTAAAAGTTGTTAAACCTGTGCCTATGAAACAAAAAAACGCTTTTTGTTTATCGATTTATTGTGAAATAACGGAAGTTGTGCTTGCTCCCTTTCCTGTTGGGCGGTTGTGGTTTCTGTCCACTGACTGCGGAGGTGCTCCGGCGTCCGGCAAAAATAGAATCGATCCTATTTTTGCCGGATGGCGGAACGGCGGGCGGCGCACTGCGTCGCATGGCCGCAGTAGTGGAACAGCTCTGACTGACTACAACGGGACCGTTTTTGCTGCGGAGTTCGTGCCGGAGCGGAGCGGAGATGGTGGAATTTTGGGGTTATTCTTTACAGTTTCAGTGCCTTCCAGAATGAGCCATTTTAGGGCTCTGTCACTTTAAGGAAAATAGGCTGGAGCTGGCCACACTCACCCACCCCCACCCCGGGCTGTTATAGGAGGGGCTCAGAGTAGAGCCACTGCTCGTTCAACAGCAGGAGGTTATATGCAACTTTTCCCATTTGTGATGTCACAAATGGGGACATTTTGAAATGGCTTCTTTCAGGCAAATAATTCATTAAAGAAACAGATGAATGTTTAGTTCTTCAAGTTTAGAGTGGTTATAGAGGCAGTATGTTGGTGAAGATTCTCAGTCATCAAGGTCATGGTAATCCAAAAGGGTTCAAATGAAGGCAACGTCTTGATGTTGTTTTGCTTCTCATCTGAGGAGCTTTGTCAACGTCTTCTAGAAACCAAAGAAGTCCAGTTGCTTTCATTTCAACCCTTTTGGATTATAGAGGCAGTAGAAAGCTACATGTCAACACAAAATGATGCACGTGAGTTCTGCACAATATGTCTTCTTTAATAAACTGTGCTTTATATTCATTCATGCACAAATTTTTTACTATGTTAAGTTATGCTTTCATGCTTTATACTGCAGACAAGGGTGCACATAAGTGGTGTGCATGTGTCTCAGAGATAATGCATGCATAACAGTTCATTTGTATTTACGCTCCTTTGTATACTTTTGGTGAACTCACCTTCCTACAACCCCCAACCCACCAAAAATGTGTATCTGTCGTGTTTTTCAATTATGAAGGAGGGTGAGAAATGTATTACACAAAAAGACAATGTGCAAAACCAAGCAGTGTAATAATTGACTACTTCCTTGCAAAAAAAAAAAAAGGATGTGGACCTCTGTTTATAGCTGTTGAAGAATTGTGATATGAAGATGGAGTAAAAAGGACTTCCCTCTAAGTCAAGTGATTTTGTCCCTTGAGTTGTTTTCTTCGTCTTACGTGCAACACGCTGTAAGCAGTCAGGGCGACCATGAAAGCAACGAGAATGACGATGCAGACAATGATGGCCACCTCAAAAAGGGAATAAGTCAGCCAAGGTAATTCCGCTGTTGGTGCAGAAATGAAGGAAGTTTTAAGATTTCAGGAAATAAAACATTTATTTTTGACTGTCAAGAACTGAAATCTAGAAAGTGGTCTAATCCCTGCCTTGCAACTAGATGCACAAGCTGTGCGCAACATAATAGACACGTTTTGCCTGCAAGCCCCCTTTCCCCTGGCTCACATTCTGTTCTGTTTTTTAATAAACGTATTTGTTGGTTGCACAACCGGAAATCCGCAGGAGACTTATTTTTTAAGTTTTCAAACGTTTTAGACTGCGCTGGTGTTTGACTTTGAACTTGTCTGGTTTAATAACAGCTGAACGTCAATCAATCAATCAAAATTTATTTATGAAGCGCTTTTCATGCAAATGCAGCTGAAAGCGCTTTACAATATTAAAAACAACCAGACAGCAGTCGTTTTCCCACCCCTCCCACACAGATTCACATAAGTGATACCCTTGACTTGACGCATTCTGGAGGCATAGTGTATAAAAAATGTCCTTGCGGCCAGTGGAAAGGCCTCTAATGACATGACAGTGGCGGGCGTTATGCAACGCTTGCACATCTGGTGGAAAGGCCTGGTGAGACAACACCCTGAGACAAGCATGCAGCGGATTATTACCTAGAGTGGTCGTGGAAGTTCCAGTCTCACCTACCAAAAGACATAAGAAAAACAAGTGGCATCATCAGAAATAAAAACAACAATACCAGTTGCTTTATACCCATTTGGTAGTTTTTGCAATTAGATTTAAACAAAAGTTAAATCTTAATCTGTGTAAAATAGCTTTAAAATGCTAATTCAGGTTTTAATAGAATTTAAATGTTGATTTGTGTCATTTATCATTTTTAAAACGCACCAACACCCTCCGCGCTCACATGGATAGCTCGAGAAGAGATTGTAGTACTGGTCGGAACATCCTCAGCTGCTGCCCTCTTTCTTCTGCCTGCAGTCGCATTACAGTCCTACAGACGGGGGAAAAAAACTTCATTTAACAGTCGACCTACATCGTTTCAAAATCGAAACATGTCAGAGTCACTCACAGGCATTAAATCTCTGCATGTGGCGACATCACAGAGTCTCGTGGTGCAGTGCACGTAGAAAGTAGAAATTGTCTGGTTTATTTGCTCCACGAATCTGAAGGTCTCAAAGTTAAAGTGTGCTGTTTGTGAAACCCCGTTGCACACCACCTTAGTTCGTTGATCACACGTACAACTATGGTGCAAAAAAAGATCCCTTTTAGCCACTGGTTTATTGCTTTGTTCAACATTACAACTAAATGATGTGGAAGAAGTAAAGAGACCCATAACATAAAAAATATTTTTAAAAAGTGTTATTTGTTCTGATTAGTGTGTTCAACTCACCCCACAAAGAGATCATGATAGACCACATGCATGGGAGATGGATTTGTTGTGGTAAAGCATCTATCCAGCATTACATTGAACCTTGAAAAACAAAAAGCAGCCTTAAAATAGTTTGTTTTTGTGTTTCGAACTAATGCGTATTTTTGACAAAGTGATTAAAGTTGAAGTACTTTGCTGTTAAATTAGTAGCGTCAACCTTAACATAAATTCTACTCATGACTTTGAGTCCAGTCGGTGGAATTATTAGCACCTCTTTATACAGCTTGTCCTGTTTGATGGAAACGAAAATGCCAAATGAATTTGATTAATCACAAAAAGCAAAAATGGTAGCTTGTTATGCTAACGTCGTACTTTGTAAAGCTGCATGCTCAGGGTACTAGTGAAGGTGGCATTTTCGTCTCTTATGGCAACATTTGCTCCTGATCTGGAAAAAAAAGCAGCAGGAATTCATGTGATCAATGAATGTTTTATTGTGAAATCCAAATATTCCAGCTGGAAGACTCACACTGTGACTTCAGTGTTGTTGAGCAGGTACTGCAGCGGGTAAGCACAGGAGAACTTGTAGAGGATCTGCTGGCGATAGCTGATAACATCTACAGAAGGGTCGACAGCTGTAACCATGCCGGAGATGTTCACAGTCTGGACATTTGAGAAATCTGCCCACTGTCCAGTTCCAGCCTGAGTAGTTATCTGTTTAGTAAATAGTAAAGTAAACAAAGGTATAAAAAGAAATTGGTTTCAGTTTGAAAATCTTCCTGTAAACTGTCTTGTCAGTTGAACAAACCCAAAGAATAAGAAAGCAATTAAATAAAATACCTGATATATGATACCACAGCTTGAGAAAAAGGAATCATTTATAGGGAAACTAAATTTCAAAACTGGTGGTGAAACAGTCCAGTCAGCGGTCCCGTAACACAGAGGGTTGTTAATGTGGTTATTGAGGACCATCAGAGACTCGTTGTAGTCGGCGTAATAAATAGGGCAAAGGTAGATGCTCAGGCTCACGTCCTGGGTGCCACAGGTCACAGATATGTCTGTGTATGCTAGGAGAGACCAAAAGACAGAACGCAACATTTCAAAATCCACCCTTGTGGTTAAATGATGCACTTGTAGAAAAATAGAATGTTTGTGGAACAATACTTCTTCACAGGTCCATCCGCAGTACCCAAAGACTAGTTTAGCTTCTTTTAACTTTACAGCACGAGAAGCTAGGGTAATCTTTTTTTCTAACAAACTTAAGGCCATTACTATGCCTGGGTTTCTTAATGTTCCTATTCCTTCTTATGACTGCCTGCTCTCTCATTTTGGGGACAAAGCATGCTCCACATTTATCCCATCGGCTACATCTATTTAAAGATCCAATTCCTGGTGTTCCTCAGGATTCTGTCAGGGTACCATTTTTTTCTCCTTTGAATCCCACTTGGCCTCATATTGTCCTCTTGTAGTGTTATGCAGATTACACCCAGTTGTTTATTTGTTTTTCTCCAAATGGCACATTTTCACATTCTACTAAAATTTCTAGATTCTGTGGATCACTTTTTTAATCAATACATTTGCAGTGGTCTCTAGTAGGAATGAATGCCTTGGACGTCTTTCAGGGGGGACATATTATACCAGCGCACCATTTCTTGTTACTAAAAGTTGCTCACATCAGAGCTGAGCTTCAGCCAGCAGGTTTCGGAGTCTAATTTTCTGATATTTGGATATCTTGCCCTGGATTGGATAACAGCAACGCAACTCAATGGCTGACTTGCAACGTGAATGTTTTATCTTCACAAAAAACACAAGCCTGGAGGGCCTTCTGCCGTGTGATGAAGTTTGCTAATGCTAATGGTTAGCTTCTACTAGCCAAGAGGTCCATTGATGATTCCCACATTAAAACAGCAGCCTTACTCGTCATGAGTCAAGATCGGTGAGTCCATGAACATTAAGCTTCATTGTGACGTAGATCTGTCAAGCTTTTCAAATCCTAGCATTTGATCATCTATTTTATATCAGAAGCTAATGCAGAAGATAGTTCATGTTCAACCTGCATAAAAAACTCAGAGTGACTGATTATAATTATAATCATTAAAAATAGGTTTTCAGTGAAGCATACCTTTAAGAGCTGAAAGGTAACAGTTTTTCTTTTCAAATGTCTAAAAATGAAGCAGATACTTGGACTTTGACTGTTCTTTTATTTTATTGTTGGAAACCTTTGACTGATTTCAAGCTTGATTCTCAAATCTTTTGTTGAATCCTATTTTGGGTTATTTGAGAAATATTGCCAATGTGAGACCTCATCTTTAAATGGAATTTTTAAATTATGCTTTTGTTTTGACTTCTTTGGGCTATAGCAATGCAGTTCAAAGATATTTGACTAAAACCTCCAGAGGCTGGTTGCAGACTGTATATTCTGCCACTGCGAGGCTCCTGACTAAAGCTTAAGCCTGATTCATGCTTCTGCGTCCTTGCGGGCCAGCTGGAGAGCCCCCACAAGGATGGACGGAGTCAAGCTCTCTTTTCTAAACATCCGTCCGTCGAGACGGAGAATGCAAGCTTGTGATTGGTCAGTGCACCGCTGTCGTCTACACCGCCGCCATTGCGCCCCAAAAACATAAAGAGAGCCGAGGATAACTAGCGGCTGACATGCAGAAGCTTGAAGAATACCTCGCGAAAAAACTCTAAAAATATGAACGATTAATTCCCCCGTGACTGGAGGAGTGAAAAGATACGCAGCAAGCCTTTTATTTGTGGATGGAAATGACAGGAAACGTGGGTTTAGAGGTGGCGAGTGCATGAAGAGGTGGAGGAGAATGAGAGACAAATTTGTCTGTGTTAAAAAGTCTCTTATATACACAAAACACAATATAAACGCACTATCTTGGACCGGATAGATAACAGGATACCTCAGAACAGCGCCCTCTCTTGTCCTGGCATGGAATTGCCTTGCAACACTCCCCAGGAGACGGAGAAGTATGAGGGCAAAATGTCTCCGTCCGTGCTATAGTTTATGCTTATCCGCAAGGTTGGCACGGCTCCGCGTGGCCAAATGACGTCATTTTAGCAACCATGCCACTCCGCGCATTCCAAAGTTTCCACACCTAAGAAATTTTTTAGCCACGCGGATGGTCCTGCGTGGAAAAACTTGGTGGACTGGCAAACGCTCATAGTGGCGGAAGTTCATAAGTACAGCCATCTTTATGATTCAGTCCATAAAGATCACCGTGATCAAAATACTGTTATTAATTGCCATCACAGTCTGAAAAGACAAGGACACAGTGGAAAAATGTTGTAAACAACAGTGATTTTTACTTCTACTATGGTGTAGTGTAGCATGCATGCCGTAGAGCCCCACGCCGCCCCCTACAGTCTGGGAGAATATTGGCTCACAGCTGAGACAGGCCGCAGAGGGTAGGAAGGAACCATAAATGCTGCAAATTCCGATGCACGTTTCATTTGCACGTCTCATTTCCACGCCGAATGTACATGTGTCGAGCATAAACCAAGCTTCAATCTTCAATATCCAGTTCTTTAATCAAGTTCAGTTCAAGATCCAAGTTTTTACTTCAAGAGTACTTGATTGATAGGCACCAGTTTTTGTACGGGGTTTTTTACATCCTCATACCCCCTGAGGTCCTATGTTCCAGGCCTGCTAATATTCCCACACACACTGTAAATAAAAGAAACGTTCTTTTATTCAGTGGCTCCAGAACTTTGGAACGCTCTACTTCTGAAACCTCAAAACCTATTTAAATCCGCTCATGTTTACCATATCTTGTGTTTTTAATGTCTTGTCTTTACTCTGTTTGTGAAGCACTTTTTGGTTTATGTCTGAAAATGTGTAATATAAAAGAAGTTTTACTAAATAATGAAAAGCTGTGAGAGGATGAGAATAAATGTCTGAGGACAAAACGGCACAAACCTGGAGCTCTATTAGTTAAATCAGTAATACACGTCGTTGGGATCCGGGCATCAGCCTGTAGAAATAAAAGGCACGTGAGGATGACCAGCCTCAGTCTCTTCATTGTGGACCTGTGAGAAAGCAGCAATAACGTGAGAATCATGGTAAATACCAGTTACTCCCTGAACACAATGTGTCAGAAGATAGTCCTTTCAAAACAGCCGGTTTTTTGTTGCAGTTTTTTTTTTTCTTTTGCAGATCCTGAAGATGACAGCTGAACCGTTACATACAAAAGCATAAAACATAAACTCGCAGAGTTACACAAGCCTACTTTTGATTTCCAATAAGTTACCAAGATGAAAAAAACTGGCATAAATTGTAAAGATCTCCCTCATAATCTGTATTCTTGTAATTATAAAACCTGAATAATGACACCTTTAAAATCCCACCCAGGAAATAAAAAAATACACACAAAAACCTTTTGTTTGATTTAGTGTGTAAAGAACATAAAAGCAATGATAGCAGAGTATTTTTTTTCTTACAATATAGTGAAAATAAAATCAAACTTCCACATTATTGTAAAAGGTAATAGAGGACTGACCTGTGTATGTCTTCATTTGGTGTGGTGCTCTAAATCGTCATATCACTCCATTTATACCACCATCCCCACATGGGCGTGAGTGGGAACACAGACACCTAAATTGGGCTTTGAATTACATTTTTCTCATTATTTAACATATAACTTGATCCTGAAAAGGTAACACACACCTTTAGCCTTTTACGTTTATAGTTGTCTTGAATTCCCCAGGGGTAGCTGGCTAGTGTTGCTGGGGAGAAGTTGCTGTGTCCTCTTTTGAGCATAAGTTTAGCATCCTTGTACTTCTTGTTTAATTTAGAAAGCTAATGTTATTCAAATTCAAACTGCTTGCTTCCTATTTGTAAGGTTGTTTCTTAGGCCATGTCCACACAAAGCCATTTTTTTAAACAAATAGCTGTCCTCCTAAAAATTAGCGTCCACACCACCTCGTATTTAGATAAAAACTCCATCCAACCACATTAGTGAATTGTCAATCACATTTATAGGCATGCCAGACCTGTAGGCAGAAGTAGTTCCCCCAAATCCTATCCATGCTCAACTTGAACAAAACATGAAACACGATGCCTAGGAAGTAGCTGCAGATTTGCTTGTAAAGACACCGGTAGCCACCGGTCCCTCTGAACACCAGCAAGCAGGCAATGTCCCAGCAAACATTGTCATAACGGCGACGTGGTGTCTACGGCCGAAAATGGTCACGGTCAGACGTCTTAAATTTGTTAAAACATATGTAACAGAAAATTCCCTAGAAATACATTCAGATATATTTTTACATGTCAACATTTACATGTATTTTTGTTATTTTGACAATTATTTACGTGTATAGTATCCAGTAAATGTTGGTCCGATGGTAACGTGGTGTCCACGGCCAAATCTTGGTAGGACGGCTTAAATTGGTAAAAAAAAATATATTGTAACATAAATTTTCCTAAAAATCCTTTGAGATATATTTGTACATGTCTACAGTTACATTTACAATTGTTATTTTGACAATTAGTTACGTGTAGTTCAACATAAAGCATCCAAGCAAATATGGGTCTGACGACAACGTCATGTCCACGGCCAAAAACTGTAGTCTGAAGACTGAAGTCGCGGGCCAAACTTAATATTTTTTGAAAAAGTGACGGCAAATTTGCACGTTTTCTTTATCAACATTTTGAACCTTGTAATTTGGAAACAAACTTATTTTTGCATTAACACTGAATGTGGAATAACCAAATGACACACGAGCAAGTCCATTTTAAATAAAACACATCAGTGGTATTCATTACTTGTGGTATATTCAGCATTTTAAAATCTATTCAGGATTTATGTTTTCTTGTTGTTTATTCACTTTTCTTATTTTTTATTCTCCTTTTTTTCTCCTGTAATAAGTGTCATCGCTGCGGTGACGTCTAGCTTTCCACACTGAGGAACAATAAAGGGATTTTCTATTCTATTCATCTATCTGCAGCCTTTCCACTTCCTGTTTACTGTAGGTTAAATCTTTTCTCACGGGCCAACAACAAAATAAAATATCATTTTATCTTAAATGAAAATGAAACATCTCACCTGTTAACGTTCATGTTTTGGAGCAGAAAAAGAGCATAAAACCTAAATATTTAAAGCTCAGTTTGCTCCACTGATTTACTGTGATGCTCACCTGTTCCAGCCAGATACCTGCATCAGGGGGTTGATCTGAGCTGAGGAGGAGACTCCTGTTGTTTTGTTCATCTTCATCATAATAATGACAACATTAGATGACAACTGGAGCTCACATAGGTTTGTGCTGATAAACATATCTGAGCAGCTTGACCACTTTGTTGTGTGTCGGGGGGGAAAAATAAAAACTACAGCAGCCACAGAGTCATGCTGATTTGAGCGTGTAGCTGCTCGCTGGAGTTATATCGGCTCTGTCTGGAAGTTAGTTGGAAAATGTTCTCTTTCAGTCATGAACACATTACTGAGTGGTTAAAATATCCATTTCTGGGCTTCAACGTCGGCAAATAGCTGAGTGAACTTGGCGCTGAGTGAGAGGAGTGTTCAGTGGTGGTCAGAGGGACCGGTGGCGCCTGTGCTTGGCAGCCTCACCTCTGTCAGTGCGCCCCAGGGCAGCTGTGGCTACATCGTAGCTCATCCCCGCCAGGGTGTGAATGTGTGTGTTAATGGATGTAGTGTAAAGCGCTTTGGAGTCCTTACTCTGAGAGGCGCTATACAAGTGCGGGTCATTAGTTTGTCCGAGACAGAGGAGCTGCAGACACCGGCAGCAGACACTGGAAAAAACACAAAGGAGGGGTTGCTTTGGCTCTGCGCCAACGCCACAAAGCATCATGGGAGTTGTGGTCTTTGCAGTAAAATCGGCCAGCGGGTCAGTTTTAATATATTTTTGATATTTATCTCGCGGACCACATAAAAATGCTCTGCGGGCCAGATATGGCCCATGGGCCTTGTGTCTGACACGTGGGCTATGTGATGTAAAAATGTGGAGTTCAAAGACCAGAGGAAGCGTAGTTTTTTTTAGTGCTCTCTGAGACAGCAAAGCCCCATGAATTACGTCATTGTGCGGGGATTTCCGCTGTGATTTTATTTTCTCTCTAAGTGTTTTTCTCCCCAGAGGAAGCTACAATGATGTTCTGCTGAGCTGTGGTGGCTTCATGGAGGGGGTCATCGTCTAGCACACTGCTGCTAACCACTTAAACATTCTCCCTCTCCTGATAATAACTTTTTGCTTTCCTTGACGTTGGATGTGCTGCTGCTAGTTTATCCGTTTAATTAGATCCACTAGGATAAATACAATAAAGTTTCAGTGAATTGTGGAGGATGGCTGCTTATACTGAGCCAGGATTCTCTGGAGGTTTCTTCCTGTTAAAAGGGAGTTTTCTTCTCCACTGTCGCTTTATGCTTGCTTAGTATGAGGATTGCTGTAAAGTCACTGACACTAGTCAGTGACTTGATGCAATTTGCTGGGTTCCTTATATAGGAAACATTATTTCTGATTGGCTTAATGAACTGACCTGAAATGGAATGTTTATTATGTGAAGTGCCTTGAGACGACTCTTGTCGCTATATTGGCGCTATATAAATAAAATTGAATTGAACTGAATTAATGCCTCCAACGTTTGAACATCTAGAGACGAGCATCAATGATAAAAATGAAATACCTTGGGTGTTTCAGAAATTCCTCTCGGGAGGCCATCGCTTCAGATAACACAAACCACCAGGCAGAACAGACTACAGAACCCAATGCCCTAACCTAATGCACCAACACATGCTTGGCAGCACAGAACGGCTGCCAAACTTACTACGCGGCAACTACGAGAGTTCCTTTCTAATCTACCGGCATCAAAGCATAACGTTTTGGGGTCCCAGAAGCCAGGGGACGCTATATGTTTCAAGTCAATTTTTTATACACCACACTCCAAAAACACATCAAACTCTGCAGTTTAGATCGCGACAGACCGGAAGTCAAACATAAAAGCAGTGTAAAACATCCGGAAACTTTCTAAATAAGTCACATGCAGATAAATGCCATTTCCTGGTAAAACCCCCGTAGCTGATCTAAACAGAACAGAAAATAAACCACAGACTTTTTTAAAAACATGCAGATGTCTTTCTTCTTGCTTATTATTGTGTGTGGACTTCTGAAATCACACGTGGTGTTGCATTTCTCAGATTCGTGGAACGCTTTTGCTCTTGTTTGCCATCAGAATTGTTCCCGGTTGGGAATGAGCTCAAGGGTAAAATGCCACTATTACATTACGGGACCACTTTCACTGCTGATGGAAAGAAGGCGCCTCAATCTGTCCCTCTGACTGCCTAACAGAAACTAACTAATCTCCTCCCGAGTCTTCAGGCATTACTTATGGTGGGTTATTGAGCACAAAACGTGCATGACGTTGCATTGGACATTCACCCGAGACAACTCTAACCACTTTCACACCAACCCCCAAACGGATTCAGACAAAATCTGTTCTAATACCTAAAGGGAATGATCAACGGCAAAGACAACTCAGAAAAACAGACCGCCGGAGAAATACAGGAAATGGAGACGCTGACATTCAGACTAAGACTGAAAAGGGAACAAATGCATAAACGATGGGCTAAATGGAGACATACAGAGTATACAGAAATATAGAACTGGAGAGAAAGAAGAAATCTGCAGATGAGCCGACCTTTTGATTTATTTATTTATGGGGTTTTTATATTTTTTATTTTATTTTTATTTTTTTATTTTTTATTTATTTTGTTTTTCTTTCTTCTTTTTCTTTTCGTCTTGTATGCATTGTAAGTACTCAAAAGAAGGAGTAGAAAAATGAATGATTAGAAAGGGAAAACAAGCCAAGAAGATAGAAATAGAAAAACGGGTTAATTGGGGAAGGAGTAACAATGGACACGGAAGGGAATGAGAAGACAAGAAGACAAAGGCAAAGAATGGACAGAATAACGGCAGAAGAGCACAAACAAAGAAAGACTTCTAGAAAATGAACGAGGGGAAATGAACAGAACTCAATGTTAAAAATATGATGAATGCTGAGTACGAAGGGGAATGTGTTTCTAAAGTAAAAGTTGATAAATAAAAAGTTTCAAAAAAAAGAAAAACAGACCGCCACACAACATACCCTAACTCTGGCCAAAACAACTAAATCTCTACTCACCACTCCTCACAGTCTGCCTGAGAGCCACTGTTCACACAGCCCACAGAGAATGCTCCTTCCAACTTGAACAAGACAGAGCTGCCCCGCCCATTGGTCTGCAGGACACCTGAAATCATTAAAACCACAATCAACAAAGAAATGAAGGACAAAATGCATGAGATCTCGAACGAGCCTCCAGTTGTTCCAACCCACGTCTATGGGGAGAGACCAAATGGAGGAGTGATTTATTTAAACTGAAATACTAAGTAATCTGATTAATGAAAAATAAACAATGACAAGTGTAGACTCTCCACTGCAAAGGGGAGACTCCCAGCAAACAAGAGAAAAGCAGAAAATTGGGCAGGTCAGGGACACACTAGGAAAAAAACAGAACAACCAAACACAGCAAGTGAAATACAAGAAAAGACCCAACTGACGATGGGTTCGTCACAATTATTACATTATTATGTTATCAATCTGTAAGTATGAGATACCGCTTAGGGTCAGGAAAATGTGAATTATTCACTACTGGTAAATTACTGATGAAGTAATGTTTCAGTTGTCATCAGAAATTATGATTATATTTAAATTCAGGGGCTTAACTAAGGGTAAGTTACTGATTAGTTAGTAATTAGTCTCTGTGAGAGAGAGGCCTGAAGGGTCTCTGAACATATTATGGGAAATTTAAAGGAAAATGCTAATACGGGAGAGGGTGGGAAGGAGTGGTAAGGTATGAGTTTCCCTTTCTAAACAGGTAACTTGACAGGTATGGTGATGGTCCGTTGTGGTGTCTCACAGTGACCCTATCAGCTGCAGACATGAACTCTGCTTAAGGTTCCTATTTGCTAATATTTCAGGATTGAGAACCATTGTTTGATGCTGGTGTTATTTGTTGTCTGTGTTGCGGGGGTGACGGTGGCACAGGAGTTGAGTGCAGGTAATCGGAGGGTAATTGGAAGGTTGCAGGTTCGAGCCCCACTCAGTCTGTCACTGTTGTTAGGGCAAGACTAGGGCAAGACCTAGGGCAAGACACTTAACCCACCTTGCCTTCTGGTGGTGTTTGGCAGGACCGGTGGCGCCTGTGTACAGCAGACTTGCCTCCGTCAGTGTGCTCCAGGGCAGCTGTGGCTATGATGTAGCTCATCGCCACCAGGGTGTGAATGTATGAGTGAATGACTGTGTTGTAAAGTGCCTTGGGGGGTTCTAGAACTCTGGAAGGCGCTATATCAAATACAGGCCATTTACCATATTTTTCAGAAAGTAAGGCTCCACCACATCACGATAAAATACCATGGAGGTGCTGAGTGACAGAACATGCACAAAGCTGTGCAAAAACTATATTTTAAAAGGGTTTTAGCTCCCCAGCTTGTGTGTGTATGTGTGTGTGAGCAAGAAAATTAAAGAAATTCAAATGCGCAATCAAACTTGTTTTGTATTAAAAAATAAATTTAATTATGATGCCATACCATATGTCTGATGTAGTCAAAAAGCATAATAAAAGTGTTTTTAGTTGGGTAAACACATTCCTCAGCAGAAATAAATGCACTGGGAGCGAATGGGAACCCTTCCAAGATGGCGGCCCACTGCTACGTCAGCTCCAATAGGCAGCACCAGTCCATGGGGTGTCTACGAATATGAGGTCTGTGTGTTCAGCTAACAGCTACTTAAATGAAATAATCTGAAGAAAGGGCATTGCTTGGACTGAAGCAGTGTTTGAGAAAACATGTCAGACTGTCAAGCGTTACTAAAATGCAAAATCGTCTGACTCTTCTCTTAACTCGAACAAGAAATCAAAACATATTTAGGATTTATGGTCAAGTAAATGCTTCCATGTGATTGTAAGATTTCATCAACATCATTTTTTAAAATTTATATAAAAAAATGACAGAACAGAATTGATGCCTTTTACATTTATTCTATTTTTCAGCATTGGATGATAAAAATGTTGTTTATTCGAACAGACAAAAGAAAATAGAAGTATTTAGATTGCATGGATGCACTACATACATGGACGTAATTTTCACTTTAGAAGTGTGGGGGGGTGTGTGGGGGGGGGGGTCTTTACAGTATGTTCTAATGGGAAACAGGCTTCAACACAAACGGTTGTTTTCCGCTTGGTCCTAGAGCTCAACCAGTGTCAATTTAATATAGCGTAATATTGGTTTTGGATGGTAAAAAGTGCAGGGGTCAAAACTTGACTTTGGAAAAAGTAGGGGGACATGTCCCCCTGCCCCCCCCCCCCCAAAAAAAAATTACGTCCATGGCTACATACACGCCTGCCATGATAAAAGTCAAACAGTATGTATAGTTTTGATGTGGGTATTCTCTCTTTACAGTAAAACATGTTTTATTTTATGTCAAAAGATCTATAGGAACCACATTTCTGACTGAGCCCTTACTTCCTTAATAAACTGTGCTTGATATTCATCTCCATGCCAACATTTATGACTATCTAATGCAAAAGGCTGAAACATTGAAGATGGACTCCATTCTAATTCCAGTGATTCTATCCGATGAGTTGTTTTCTTCGTCTGACATACAACACAACGTAAGCAGTCAGGCCAAAAACAAAAAACGTGAGGAAGATGACGCAGACAATGATGGCCACCTCAGGACGGCTATAGGTGAGTTGAGGTAGCGCACCTGTGTGAACAGTAATGAAGAAAATGTTATTTTTATTTCATGTCATCATTTATTTTGCTTACCAAGAACTGAGAAAGTATCCAGAAAGATGTTCATGATGACCCTAGAAACGAGCATCAGATGCCGCTGGTTATTACCTGGAGCAGTTGTGGAAGTTCCAGTGTCTAAAGAACGAGAACAGAACAAAAACAAAAAGCATTGTCAGGAAAAAAAATGTTTTTTTTTTTTTTTGCTTGACATGTTTGATTTTAAATTTAAACCCACAATCAGATTTAAACAATATTTGAGTGTTTAGACAAATTGATTTGCATTTATTTTCCTTTGAAACGCACCAGTGTTATCCTTGTTCACACTGATAGCCTGTGAGGTGATTGTTGCGCTGGTTGGCACGTCCTCGGCTACTGCCCTCTTTCTTCTGCCCACAGGAGCATTACAGTTCTATGCAAAAGAGAAAAACAAACATTAGAACAGCCAGCCGACATTGTTTCAACACACTTGAGTCAGAAATCAGATTCCCTCACAGGCAGCAATGAGCTGCATGTGGCTACGTCACAGAGCCTGGTGGTACAGTGCAGGTAGAAAGACGAAACAGTCAGGTTTCTTTGCTCCACAAATCGGAACGCCTGAAAGTTGAAGCGTGCTGTTTGTGAAACTCCGTTGGTCTCCACCACAGTATTTGGATCACGCTGACACCTACAGTAAAACAATAATAGCAAAACCAGAATTACAATCCAACTTTATCCACTGGCTTATTGCTTAATTCAACTGTAGTTAAATGTGGTGAACCGTTACTTTAAACCAAGCCTTTTAATCAAATGATAGGGGATTATAGGGTCTCAAATGTATCACAGCACCTCGTGTGAAAGTTGTCTTTAAAACTTGTAAACTGCCACTTGTTTCATGCCACACAGTAAATTCTGTGGAAATATTCTTTTATTCCACCTGGAAGGGAGTTGCTGTTGTTCGTGCTGCAAGTTACTAAGAAATTCTGTAAAGGACTGTGCAACGCAAAAATGATCATGATTTCAATGTTTATGACTAAATTTGAGACAGCAGGCTTTTTAAATCTAAAAAAACGCATCGCTGTATATTTTACTGTCAGTTTTGTATAATTTCATGTTATTCTGGAAACCAGTTTCAAGGTTTCTGAGTTCTGCAAAAAAGGTCCAATGAGCTACTAAAACCTTTCTTCCGCTAAAATGTTGCTCATAAATCATCTGTTGATGGCTGAAAAGAGAAATTTGCATCAGCGCTGCACAAAACTGGTACCCATGCATGTCAAAAATGATACATGCAACAGTTCCTTTTCCAGGACACACCCTCGTGTACCGGTGAAATGTGTGTATTCCCATATTGTGATTCCCCAACATCTCTGCATCGCACAAGTGCAAAAAGCACTCACACTCATTACAAACTGGCTTCCAATGTGGTGCATACCAAACGTCTGCACCTAATACTTGATTTTAAAATGTATGTGCACCCTGAAAAGAAGTCTTTTTGGACAATGCTGATAGCTCCATATCCATTTTACTTTGTGCTTTGCCTAAGCAGCTCCATGGGAAATCAGTTTGCACATGACCAAGGGGTTTATGTTTTTTATGCAATTAACTAAGCATTGCTTTGTGTACAATATGCTATATGACTATAATGTTAAATTGCCTACCATGTCTAGATAGGATTTTTGAGTGAAAGAAGTTAAAAAAAATAACCCTTAAAAGACAATGTTCAACTGCGGTATTTGCTCTGTTTACATGTTTTCCACTCACCCCACAAAGAGATCATAATAAGTACTTTGCATGGGTAATGGACTTGTGGTGGCGTAGCATCTGTCCAGCAGCAAGTTGAATCTTTAATTAAAAAAACACGTATTTAATGGTCTTCTTTGTATTTTAACTGGAATGGCTCATTTTGACTAGAAGAGTAAAGTTTACGTACTTTGCTGTCAAATTAGTAGCCTTAACTTCAACATAAATTTTACTCAGAAATTTAAGTCCAGTTGGGGGAATCGTTAGCACCTCTTGATACAGCCGATCCTGTTTGATGAAAATGAAAATACCAGATGAAGTTGCTTGAATAGAAAAATACACAAATGGTAATAATAACTTGGTATAAGAGAACATACTTTGTACAACTGCATGCTCAGGGTACTAATGAAGCTAGCGTTGTTGTCTCTTATGGCAACATTTGCTCCTGATCTGTAAATAATAATACAAAACATGTTTTTATGTGATCAATTCATATTTTATTGTGAAATCCACAGATCCAGTAGCGATTCCAGCTGGAAAACTCACACGCTGAGCTGACTGTTGTTGAGCAGGTACTGCAACGGGTAAGCACAGGAGAACTTGTAGAGGATCTGCTGGCGATAGCTGATAACGCCTACAGAAGGGTCGATAGCTGTAACCATGCCGGAGATGTTCACAGTCTGGACATTTGAGAAATCTGACCACTGTCCAGTTCCAGCCTGGGTAGTTATCTGTTTAGTAAAAATAAAGATTTTTGCGAAATTTGGTATTAGTTTGACGATCTTTTTCTAACATTTAGTTCATAAAAAAGTCAAGTCTAAATCCAACCAACCAACTTTTAAGTAGGAATTAACATTGTACCCTGAAATCGTTTTAACCGTAGCATGGCTAGACAAACCAAAATAATAAACAGCATAAGGCAGTCAAATAAAATACCTGATAAATGTTTGCGCAGCTTGAGAGAGAAGTGTCATTTATAGGGAATCTAAATCTCAAAACAGGTGGAGAAACAGTCCAGTCAGCGGTCCCGTAACACAGAGGGTTGCTGATCTGATTGTTGAGGACCATCAGAGACTCGTTGTATTGAGAGTTATAAATAGGGCAAAGGTAGATGCTCAGGTCCATAGACTGGGTACCACAGTTCACGGTTATGTCCGTGTTGTCTATGAGAAGGGAAAAAAAAGAATAATAAGAAATGTAGCAGGTGTTTGAGAATAAATGTTTGGGGAGAAAACAGCACGAACCTGGAGCTCTGTTAGTTGGATCTGTTACACATTTTAGTGGAATCTGGGCATCAGCCTGCGTAGATAGCAGGCACACAAGAATAGCCAGCCACAATCTCTTCATTGCGGATCTGTGAGAAAGCAACGACACATTGGGGGTCATGGCAGGAACTGGTTTGTCTTTGAGAACAGTGTGTTCAAAGAGAACTTCAAAAACAGCTAAATATCTCTTGCTGTTTGTTTTAGGTGCTGGAAATGCTGCAGATGAAACATTAGCCTTCACATACAAAAGTGTAAAACTTATATAGCTAGCAAAGTTACACAAGCCCACTCTGGGTCTATGCAATAGTCTAGGCTGCCTCCAAACCCCGCACATTTTGAATGTTTGAAAACTGTATAGTGAGATCTTCTGGATTTTTTAAGGATTTTTGACAAATACACATTAAACTTGTATGATTTGATTAGAAGCATATTTTTTACATAAAAAAAAACCATTGCAAATAAAATACAATGTATTTTATTTTATTTTTTTACTTAATGTTAGTGTAAATAACCTCAAACTGCAATATCTAACTATGAAAGTTGTTGTAGTACTCACTTGTTTGTCTTCATTTGGTGCAGTGCTCTCATTCATCAGGCCCCTCTATTTATACTGTTGTTCTCATATGGGTGTGAATGGGAACACAGTAAAGTAACCTGAACTCGGCTTTGAATTTCACCTTTCTCAGTGTTCAACTTATTGTTTGATTCTGGGAGAAAATACACATACTCTTTTCTGGTCTTTTTTGTTTGGAATTGTCTTGGGATGCCCCAAGGAAAAAGGTCAAGGGTCTGGATTTCAGGCTGGTTCTCTTCTGTTGTTTTCTGTCATAGCAAGGGAGATTTATTTTCAGCTCAACTCTGTAAACATTTCGCAATCATTGCTGATGAGTTGGACTGTTTCATTAGCAATTAGTAAGTTCTGTTTTTTTTTTGTTCTGGAATTAAATCCAAGCAGTTGTATGTTAGAGTGAAAAGCAAAGGGCTAAGTGCACATCCCTGAGGGACTCCTGTATTCAGCATGATGTGGCGTGATGTGTTGCTACCACCATAAACTTTCAGAGTGAGATCCTCAATCCAAGCAATGAGAACTTCAGAGGACCACTTGGTACAAGCAAACCAGGAGTGGGGGTGTCTAGCTGTCAAAGACAGAAAGGATATTTTAATGGGACCCATTACTAGTTGTTCTAAGCACTCAATTGTGACAGAGACCAGAGCAAAAGGGCAGGAGGCACTAAAGTGACAATGTGTAGTTTTTACCATTAATCTCTGGAAATATCCATCGAAATGTTATTGTAATGGAATTAAAAGATGGGCAATTGTTGAAAAATATTGGCAGTTTCATGACACATAACGATAAAAATCTGTTCTAAAATACCTGGGAGCGGGTCTAAGGCCCACTCCCAATACTCGTACTGCACCCTGCAGTCTTCAGCAAAGTACACAGTAGGGTTTGAGTGCGTAGTACACAAGTGCCGAATTGAGACAGGGAGCATTGCGTCATCGATCGCAACGCATGCCGGGATGCTGGTTGCTGTGATAATTTTTTCAAAAAAACTTTATTAACAACTTCCAAACAAACCACAAAGCAATTATTTGAAATAAATTTCACTTCATTGCTGCTTCTTCTAAAACATTCACAGCATCAAATAATCATCCTTAAATGAACTAATTTCATTAGAAATTACATATTTTCAGAAAAGGAACTTTTTTGCCATTTCTCTCTTGCCCGAGGTCCGTATTGCTGCAGAGCCATAGTAATTATGACCTGATTTAAAGTTAAAAAGTTAAAATCTCATAGTCATCATCACACACTGGTGAAAATCATCTACGCATTTGACCCATGGGGATGGGTGAGCTGCAGCAGTGGCTGCGCTCGGGAACCATTAGCTGGTTTAACCCACCAATTCAACCCCTTAAAGTTGAGTGTCGAGCAGGGAGGCTTTGGGTCCCAATTGTTTAGGTCTTTGGTATGACCCAACTGGTTTTGAACCTCAATCTCCCAGTCCCAGGACAGACACTCTAAAGCCGGGCGTACACTGTGCGACTTTTTCACTTTTTTGAGCCGATTTTCCAGTCGTGCGAGAAGCCACGACATCGGGGCGAGTTTTGCGCCGAGCGGTCGTGTAGTGTACAGGGGGTTACGAGAGGCGATTAACACCACGTGACCAGCCGCCGATCAGCAGTCGTGAGGTCGCAGGGACTTCTGGTGTGTTTAATATTTCGCTCGTCCCTCGTGAGGGTATCGCACTGTTGAAGCGGCGCTGCGAGCAGCTGCGAGCAGCTACGATCCAAAAAGTATCAGAACCGCTCACGGCGCATGCGCGCGCAATCCTGCATCAACGCCGGCCGGTCGCTCGCTATTTCCCTAATAACACACGCTGTTCGTTTTTGTTTCTACACGTTTTTTTACTCACAAAGATTGTCAAGAAAGCGTGTTTGTCGTGTTCATGTCAAATTAAACTGATCACAAAACACAGATTCACTTTCTTTGTTTCGTTTTCCTCATCCAACCCCCATAAATCCCTGTGTGTCCTGCAGCACTCCCGAAGAACAACAGGCAAGACAAAAAAGTCTGACGTGTTGAGTAAAAACTGCTATTTTTAGCACATTTTTAGGGCCGACGTGTTGCTACCAGACGTACAGTGTGAGCAGTCAGGTCGCATGCGAGAACTGGGTCGTGCAGTGTGAGCACATGACTCGTGAGATCTGCCCTGCGAGGAAGTCGTACAGTTTGAGCTGAAGCTGAACGCTGCGAGTGAAAAAGTCGCACAGTGTACGCCCGGCTTTAGCCACTGAGCTGGTTTACTAGCTGGAGATCAAGTATTTTTTAACACATTTGCAGTGGTCTCTAGGATAAATGAATGCTTTGTAAGTCAATCTCTGTCGGAATAAAAGCTCTCGCTATCCTGTTTCAGGAGAAGTTGGTCGAGGGGAGTGGAACACGGCGTGATTATTTCCTGATATTCAGATATCTCACCTCTGGTTGGCTAATAGCAATGCGACTCCACTGACTGCTTTGCAGCAAGGCTATTTTTTTTATCTCCACACATAACACTAGCCTGAAGGAGTTATGACATGTTGTGGAGTTGGTAATGCTAACGGTTAGCATCTCCTAGCTGAGACACACTCTGCTCTCTCCTGGACACAAAATCAACAAAAGCCTTCTCCGTCTCGAGCCAAAATGGGTGAGTCCATAAATGCTAATTTACAGTTTGAGGTAGATCTGAGTGGCTTTTCTAATCCGAGAGTTCCCCTTTCTTTTTTATTGATGGCTAATGCAGGAAACAAGTAGAAGGCTATTTTCACATTCAGCCTTTTATTTTAAAAAATTATAAGTAAAAAAATCTGTTTCTCAATAAACTTTGTTTCAAAACAACTCATAGCTCCAAAATGTTGGTGTTAACTATAAACATCATTTATAAATGTTTACATATTTATTCAATTTATTATTTGTGACATCTGGCAGAAATATTCTTGTATTCATCCCTAGTCCTGTGGGGTTAACAGCCATTCATCTGTGTCATTACGGGACAGCAGTAACTCAGGAGGTAGAGCAGGTTGTCCAGTATCGGAGGGTTGCAGGTTCAATCCCTACTCCGACCAGAGAATGGTGCTGTTGTGTTCGTGGGCAGGACACTTAACCCACTTTCCCTGCTGGTGGTGGTCAGACGGACCGGTGGTGCCAGTGTTCAGCAGCTCACCTCTGTCAGTACGCCCCTGGGCAGCTGTGGCTACATCATAGCTCATCCCCACCAGCGTGTGAATGTGTGAGTGAATGACTGATTGTGTGGTAAAGCGCCTTAGGGGGTTGCAGAACCCTAAGAAGGTGCTATACAAATACATTTACCATTTGCATTGTTTCTCTTCACAAAGACCACGATGATCTTTGCATCGTTTTAGTGTTTTTGTCCTGACTTCACCCAATTTCATTCATTTCACTATTTACTCAGGTGTTGTCAAGTTTATTTAATCATTTTATTTATGTTTCTGTTGCGAAGTTTTCTGATCAATACATTGATAATAAGAAGACAAAAGATTTTTTTCCCATTGATGTCATTGTTGTATCTCCTATGTATGTATCAATTAGTTATAAAATTTGCATTGATAAACTCAAAGTAAATAACAAAGTGACCTTATGACTGTAGGTAAAAACATACCTACATTATTAGGTACATTAAAACAATAAATGACAACATTTGGACAAAATTGATGCCTTTTATGTTTATTCTATTGGTCAACATTGAATAGTGAAAGCTTAGTTTATTCAAACTGACAAAAGAATACGGTAGAAATATTTAGTTTACATGCACAGATCTTACATAATAAATGTCAGACAGTAAACTGTCATCCTACATTACTGTGACAGCTTGTTTAGTCGTAACAGTCAGTGTTAATATGGGGATTCTTTCAAATAAAAGAATAAAACTCTGCAAAAGCTACCTGAATGAACCACATTCCTGACTGACTACAGAAGATAGTACAACATTAAATACTGCAACAAAATAAAAAAGATTAAAGGAAATAACTGATTATTTTACTCAGTTAATACTGAGCCTTTATTTCCCTAATAATGAACTATTTTCTATAAATTTGCATGTATTTGCATGCCAAAATTAATGACTATTTAAGGTCAAATGTTCATGCTTAGATGACGAAGAACAGTCACTTGGAGATGGGGCAACAAGTGCTCCAGTCTTAGTCAGGCCATGTTTTCTCTCGAGTTGGCAGTCATGAAAGTCAGGGTGATGATGCAAACGATGACGGCGCATGAGGACAGTTATAAGTGAGCTGAGGTAATGCACCTGTTGTAGCAAGTATGAGGGAAATGTTAAGAATACAGACAATACAAATGTTATTCTTTTGCTAGTCAGAAACTGAGCAAATACCAAGAAAGCAGTCCGTTAAAGATGATTCCCCAGACAAGCATCTGATACAGCGGGGTGTTACCTTGAGCAGCTGAGGAAGAAGCGGCGTCAACTAAAACACAAAACCCCAATAAACAGGCATGGTTAGTAAAAAAAAAAAAACACTTGTATTATATGATAATAAATTGTTATTCAATTTAGTTCTGTTAATTTATATAGCGAGTTGTCGCAAGGCACTTCACAAAGTGATCAGTTTCCACTAAAACATTCTCTCTCTCCTGATAATAACTTTTTGCTTTCCTTGACGTTGGATGTGCTACTACTAGTTTACCCGTTTAACAATAGATTCACTAGGATAAATACAATAAAGTTGATCTCTCGCCAAATAGAATATTTACTAAGCAATCACGGTGTAACCATGGACACATTGCTTGGTGTCTGCGTACGTGTGCGCGTGTATATGCGTGTGTGTGTGTGTGTGTGTGTGCGTGCGTGCGTGCGTGCGTGTGTGTGTGTGTGTGTGTGTGTGTGTGTGTGTCTGCTCTGTCTTCTCGATCCCCAGTGAGTCGTGGAGGATGGCGGCTTATACTGAGCCAGGATACTCTGGAGGTTTCTTCCTGTTAAAAGGGAGTTTTCCTCTCCACTGTCGCTAAATGCTTGCTTAGTATGAGGATTGCTGTAAAGTCACTGACACTAGTCAGTGACTTGATGCAATTTGCTGGGTTCCTTATATAGGAAACATTATTTCTGATTGGCTTAATGAACTGACCTGAATTGGAATGTTTATTATGTGAAGTGCCTTGAGACGACTCTTGTCGCTATATTGGCGCTATATAAATAAAATTGAATTGAATTGAATTGAACTGTTTAAGAAAATCCAGCATACCAAGTCAGTGACTCAATGCATTCTGCTGGGTTTCCTTACACAGGAAACTTTTAATTAATCGGAATAATGAACTGATTCAACTAAACTGAGCACTGATAAGTAGGTTTAGTTGTAATGTTTGTAAAGTGCCTGGAACAGATTCTTGAATTGGCACAGTCTAAAAAAACGTAAGTAGAACTGCTCATTTCAGACGTACCGCTCTTATCCTCGCTCACACGTATAGCCTGAGAAGTGATTGTAGCGTTGACCGGCACATCCTCGGTTGCTACTGCCCTCCTTCTTCTGCCTGCAGGAGCATTGCAGTTCTATAGACAAGAGAAACGCTTTAGAACAATTCACCTGCTGTTTCACTTGAATCTGGGCATGGCAGATTCACTCACGGGCAGTAATGAGCCGCATGTGGCTACATCGCAGAGCCTGGTGGTACAGTGGAGGTAGAAAGTCGAAATAGTCAGGTTTTTTTGCTCCACAAATCTGAAGGCCTGAAAGTTGAAGCGTGCTGTTTGTGCAACCCCGTTGCTGTCCACTGCGGTATTTGGATCACGTGTACACCTATGGCGCAACAACATTTCAGTGGGAAGTATTAATCAAAGAAGCAGAAAGGACTCCAAAATATAAATGTGTGTTTATGTTTTCAGCTCACCCCACAAAGAGGTCATAAAAGCTACTTTGCATGGGTAATGGACTTGTTGTGGCGTAGCATCTGTCCAGCAGTATGTTGAACCTTTAAGAACAAAGGGCAGGATTTTATTGGTATGTTTTGTATTTTTAGAACTTTTATGGCTTATTTTTAGTAAATGAATAAAACATACGTACTTCTGTGTTAGATTAGAAGCTTTGACTTCCACATAAATCTTGGACCTTATATTAAGTCCAGTTGGTGGAACTGTTAGCACTGTTTGATACGTGCTGTCCTGAAAGAAAAGAAAAGTGAAGTGTAAACAGAAAAAAAAAACACTAATATGTTCATAACAACTCAGTATAAGGAAATGTCATACTTTATAGAGTGTCATACTCAGGGTACTAACGAAGCTACCATTGTTGTCTCTTATGGCAACATTTGCACCAGATCTGCAAAGCAAAAAATAGTGTGATTAATAAATATTTTACTGTGAAATCCACAGATCCAGTAGTGATTCCAGCTGGAAAACGTACACGCTGAGTTGAGTGTTGTTGAGCAGGTACTGCAACGGGTAAGCACAGGAGAACTTGTAGAGGATCTGCTGGCGATAGCTGATAACGCCTACAGAAGGGTCGATAGCTGTAACCGAGCCGGAGATGTTCACAGTCTGGACATTTGAGAAATCTGCCCACTGTCCAGTTCCAGCCTGGGTAGTTATCTGTTTAGTAAAAATAAAGGTTTTGGTGAAATTCATCTTAGTTTGAAGATCTTTTTGGTTAATGATATAAAAAAATATATTATTTGAAATTTAAAATGAAATATGTGTTTTGGTGTACCCTGAAATCTGCCTAACTTTCTCATGGCTGGACAAACCTAAATAACAAACAGCATAAGGCTAAAAAATACCTGATAGATGTTAGCGCAGCTTGAGAGAGAAGTGTCATTTATAGGGAATTTAAATCTCAGAACTGGTGGAGAAACAGTCCAGTCAGCAGTCCCGTAACACAGAGGGTTGCCGATCTGATTGTTGAGGACCATCAGAGACTCGTTGTATTGCGAGTTATAAATAGGGCAAAGGTAGATGCTCAGGTCCATAGACTGGGTACCACAGTTCACGGTTATGTCTGTGTTTGCTAGGAGAGACAAAAAGAAAGAATGTAAACGAAAGCAGGGGTTGGGATTGAGACAAAACATTTGGGGAATTAACGGAGCAAACCTGGAGCTCTGTTAGTCACATCAGTAATACAAGCCTGTGAATTCTGGGCATCAGCCTCCAGAAATGAACCAAGAAGGCACACGAGGATTGGCAGCCTCATTCTCATCATCATGGACCTGTAAGAAAACTTTTCTTATCGTTTTCTTTTTAAATGTGCTGACAATGAAAGTTCAACCATCAGAAACAAAATCATATTTTTTTCATATTCATAATTCTCCCCACCATTAGATTATGGAGAGAAATACATTTTCGTTACAGCTCAGTGGATTGATAATTATATACTTAATGTCCACATCTGTAACTTAGAACAATGAAAATTTGTTGTTAGAAAATAAATTTTCTACTTTGCTAATAAGGAAACCAACAATCTTTTCAAGACTCACCTGTATGTCTTCTTGTGCTATGCTCTCGATTCCCACATCCCTTCATTTATACCATCATCTCCATATGGGCGTTAACAGTGGAACAATAACTGTAACTTAAACCTGGCTTTGAATTTCATTTTTCCCAATACTGAACATATTGTCCTAGTCAGAAAAAAATATCCATTGCATTTTGTGTTTGTTTTTTTATTTTTTGCTTCCATGGACATATGTTTTATATGAACTTGGATATAGTTGTGAGGAAATGTAAATAGAAAAACTGAATAATATTTATAGGTGGGCTGTATTTGTAATATGGTTAATTTCAGTGAAAATATTCAACTATGTTGTGAGGTAATTTGAAATTGGGTTTTTCCATGAGAAAGATGTCTCACTGTTTATCCAATTGTTAACTGAAGAGCTAGCATCTTGTGAAAGAATGCCCATTAACCATATTACTTTATACTAGAGATCATCTTATTTTGATAAATTATACATTACTGTGGCCACTTTAGTCTTTTCTTCTATTTATTGTTTTGTGACTACCACACAAAATTGAAGCTCTGTATCTTTAAAACTAAGGTTTATATATATATATATATATATATATATATATATATATATATATATATATGGCCTGAAATATAACAAATATATGACATATTGAGCAGTTCACCTCCGTAACGATAACTATCCTAATGGCAGCAGTGGTAGATTTGGTCAAGGAGATGCCTGTTCCTACAAAAATTATACAATTTTGTGGCAAAACTTCGGTTTTGGTTGGTGCCTCCGGCTTCCGGCAGCTGCTACCCACTGCCCCTGCCTCAACATTTGAATCGTCCTCCACTTCCTCACTGTCTTTCCCTTCTTGTTGCAGTTTGGAGCACAGCATCTTAAAGATAGATGAATATCAGCAACCTGCACGCATCTTTTAATTTTTTAATATAATGAATACATCAACATGGGCAGAATGACATTAGTAATAGACTTACATTTTGGTACTGATCAATATCACCCACCTCTACCTGAGATTTAGATTAAAACGTGTACATTGGTTCAGGACATTCTCACATGCCTTTTTGCCCTTTGGAGTTGGATAATTAAAAATAATGAATTCAATGGCGTAATGGACAGAGTGGTATTTTCTTGTGGGGAACGGTAGCTCTTGAGTGCACAGGAAGGAGATTTCAACCTTGAGGTCCCATCATATAAATGCTGATCCTCCTTAATAGTAAACATATCTAGAGACCAATGCTGACCTACATATGTGTGTCTGTATACACGTGTGTATTGATGGATGTATGGAATGGGTGGCAAGGACAGTACACAAACAACAAGAGTAGGCTACGTGTTTTCTAGGTCTATGAAAGACTAGGATCAGTGACCTGATCTCAAGTGTTTATCTTGAAAATCTTTTCAGAAGATAAAAGTCTCACCCTTGTTTGTTTGAAAGCACAGTCTGTAATGGATCGATTCTGTCAGCCTAAGGCTGTAAACTTTAAATAAAAATGTGAGTGCTGCTTTCGCACTCTGCATGCAAAACCACACCTATCCCGAGAAATTCTAAGACTTCAGAAAAACATCCTGACACGAAAGGGGCTCATGACTCCCTAAAGGACTCCACCACAATGCACCATGAGGACACAGCCTGAATGAGGTCCCCGATAGATTACCTGAGGCATATCTTATGTCAAATGCCAGTTTAAATTGCTCCATTATTGTCAATAAACAGTGTTTGCCTCCCAGCGATGCTGTCCTTGTAACTACGGACACAAAACTTGCTCCCAAAAGCAGTTCATGTCGACACCCTCGGGAAATAATACAAAAGGGATACTGGCTCGTGCCACATTTGGGTCAGGATCTCCACTCAAGAAACATAATCCACACTTGCGTACTTACATCTCACTTATATACTCTGATGATGTCATCAAAAATAAAGTATATTTGCATAAACGTCAAAATGACCTCATTGTGTTTTTATCGTAAATATCTGGTTTGAAGTGTTGATTCCAAGTTCCCATTTCAAGGATTCCCCCAGGTTTTGAAAGTGCTAAAGTGGAAGCAACGCACCTGGGATGTTCGAGCTGATGCAGTGACGCGTTAGCCGCAAGCTTGTATGGACCACATACTTTAGCCATTTTTCCAATTATTGTCTTTCAGTTGTGTTTCTACGGCCAATGTAGTACATGGCTGCAATTGACCTGCACTACCTTTACAACTGACCGATCGACCTATTGACCCCTGCTTCAGCAGATAAAATGTTTTCTTTTGCGTGGGGGAAAAACATTCGTGCCGCTTTCCTAAGTCAAATATTGTTGTGGAAAACCTTGTATTTTAGTAATGGTATAATCTTACCTGCTGACGTAGAACTTGATTCCCGTTTATTTGAAACAACTATTAAAAAAAGACTTATTTTCACAATTTTGATTAACATTAAACCTATGATTGTGGACTTCCACATGAAAGAAAAAAAAAAAAAAAAAAAATATATATATATATATATATATATATATATATATATATATATATATATATATATACATACATACGTATTAAGGGCGACTAAAAATCTTTACGGGAACATTTTCCTAAATTGCTTAAAATCAGAGGCGGTTTTACCATTAGGCATAGGCCGGCGGCCACCTGGAGCCCCCTTGTGTTGGGGGGCACCCTAGCCCTGACCGCCGGCACCCCCCTGTTAATGCCACAACATTCTTATTACCAACCTGTCGCCGCAGGCGGGATTGGATATGATTCTCATTACCATAATTCCTGAACCGTTCAAGATATCATTAAAATTCCAAAAGTGCTGAAAATATTAAAAATGGGGCTTTTCATGCATATACAATACATTAGGGTAGCCACCGGGTTTCCCCGTCTTGAGCGCAACAAATCACAACACAGAGTCAGAAACATGCTGTGTTTGTCATCCAAAATGCTTCGTTTTATAACTTTTGAATGGCTGATCAGATTTTAAAAAAATGCCAACGGTCCCTAAAAGTATATAAGAGCAGCTTTCCAACAATCTATAGCATGAAGCAATCAGAGTTATGGACAATATCGCTACGAGGGGAAATCCTGCTGTACTGCCTGATTGAAACGGAGCGCAGCGCCGCGGTGAAAGCGGATAACGGAACGGGAAGCTAATTAGCATAAAAAGCCAGCATAAAATTATGGAAATGCCTCAAAGAAAATCAACACAATCTATTAGGTGTCCCAGAAGGCTTATATCTGAAGACAGTGACCATGAAGAAGGACAGATCTCCGGTGAACTAGGGTATGATTGTTCAGTCTTTATTTTTCATTTTTTTAATTTGAACAACCCTCAACTATTAGCTAATTGTAAGAGTCAGCTTCATTCCAGCATTATTTATCTTTTTACAATAAATAATTATTTTTGCTAAAACAAAAGTTTTTGGTATTGCAGTGCACGGTGTGCAAGAGAAGCACCCCATGACAGTGTGAGGTGCGCTCTGCCTGCAGCTGGAGAGAAACTTCTTCAAGGCCTACCACATCAAATAAAAACGTCTGAAAGTTTACAAAAATAAATGGTTTTAAAAATTGCTAAAAAAAGATACCAAGGTTCAAACTTTTTTAAGAATAGATGCATTACAGTTCAAAGTTTAAATTGTTCATTCCAAATTGTTTGCCCAGTAATTTTGAAGTTCCTGTTCATTAATAAATGTAAAAAATTGAAATCTGTTTTTTGCTTTTTTCACTTTTAAGCTGATTTTTAAAGGCTTTAATAGAAATAAATTCTAAATACAAACCATACACTGAAATCTGAGGTTGTTCTGAAAAAAGGAGGAGTCACACACACTTTGCACTTTTTATTACAATTTTACAGCCATAACATTTAAAAAGTACCAGGCAGCCCTGTTATTATTATGGTCATAAGAGGTTTATTAAGACAGCGATGCACAAACAGGAGGTATTGGTAGAAATTCCACTCCAATCCAGTTGGTGGTGGTAATGCACCAAATTGTTGTTTGCCAAGTGCCATAAGACCACAAATAATAATAATAAGAGAAGCGGGAGCGTTCGTAACAAACTCAAAGCGATAGTCAAAAAATTAAGCATGAAATGGAGTTATCCTAGTGGCTCCAATAAGAGAAAGAAGCAGCTTGCTTCATAAAAGCTTTTATTTTCACTTCTGAAAGTGGCGTCATTTTTGATGTAAACATCAAAAAGAAGCAGAAAAGAAAGACAATGGAAAATGTTTAAAGGGAGGAAAACATAGACCAAAATGGAAAATAGAAAAAAAAAAACTAAGGCTAAAGCACAGGAGCACTGACAGGAAAAAGAAAGCAGAGCAAATATTGAAAGCACTCAAAGGGAGGGAAATACAGGAAAAAAGAGGAGGACTACTAAAAAGGGAAAATAACTAATGTCAGAAGAGGGGAGAGTTTCACAAATCCAGTTAAAGGTAGGATTGTTGAAAATTTTGTGTAAGGGGCCCCATGTCTGTGTTTGCCTTGGGCTCCCAAATTGCTAAATCCGCCTCTGCCATCCACCACCAAACCATTCCTAAGACAGTTGACATCACATCGGTTTAGCTCAGTGGTTTCTTCACTGCCTGAGACGTAGCTCTCTCTGCGCTCTCTGGGGTGCAGGATTCATCCACGGGCGCTGTCTGGCGTTTTACTGGAAACCGCGATCCCACAAGGAGTATTTGACATCCAATGTTGTTTATTAACACTTGACCAGGAACACAAATATCAAGTCGTGGAAACGTGTAAATGTACCTTTAATTGAAGCCCTCTTGTTCTCCTCTGACATCAAGCTCTGTAACTTTGACAGTGGATGATTTGATTTAGTAATGGTTTATCATGTCCTATATTGTACCAGAAAAGACACTCCCCATCACGCGCTCTGCGCTCCTCTGACCAAGGCCTGCTCGCTGTCCC